TTGTCGATCTAGGAAACAACCTGTTATTTATAAACTCACCACGGATATACATGAATAGTGAATATAGTTGTACGGTAATATTTAATTCTGAATGCGGATATACATTCAACTTCTGTTTCCAGAATTAAGAATGAAATAAGTTGAAATGTGAACAAAGTATTTACTGAAACTATCGAAGACTCTTTGTTTAAAGCAAAGAATGTATAATCGACAAACACAAAAATAGACACAAACAAAAGTTTAGGAACGCTTGTCTTTTAGAAGCTTAATCACAGCCCTTGGTTGGTGTATGTTACATCAAGTATGACTTTTGGTTTCGTTTATTATAAAACATTCTTTGCTTGACATTTTATTGTGCGTAAAGTGAAATCAAAACATGTTTAAATAAACAGTGTGGTGTGAAGTATTTGAATATTCATTGTCGAGAAAGAACTGTGTTGCATGACCCTCAAGGCAATATCATTCGGTTCTTTTCAGAAGTATTGTAAATGTATAAATATTTTTCTGTTTTGTTTTTTTAAAGTACAAAGTCTACTAGTTTAACAGAAAAAAAATGTCCTTATTCTAAATTAAGATGATTTCAAAAGAGAATCTTAAATTGAACTTGAATAAATCTAAAAAATTGAAGATTGATATGTTAAGAAATTGTTTCAAAATAACAAGGATATTTAGAAAAAGTCTTTTGAGAGAGTAATGAAAAGAATGTTGATCTTATTTGGTCTTTCTTACCGTTTTGATTAGTGTTTAACTGTTGTGAAAGAAAAACGTGCGTCCGGCGTTAAACCTTTTTTCCTTGTATTAATGATGATTTCTTTTCTTTAGTAGAGTGCGAAAGTGTCACTTAAACTGACGAAAAGTGTTGGAATGAACTCAAATGTCAAATTATAAACGAATGAATGCACATGCATTTGTCTATGAGATCATTTCTCTAGGAAAATAAGTGTCGGTTTATGTTACATCATCTGAAAATGCAATCAACAGAATTCAAAATATGTTTTTCCGATATTTTCAATTCCACTTCGCCTTTTCACACATATGTATAGCCCTTCTCTACCTGATCAGAAATTTACCGATTGTGTCGCATTACCGATTGCGTTATATTGAATGAATATGAATATGTATGGCCAGTGACGAAGTACAGAGCATGAGACGCTCAACCTTACGACGTGTCCGGTCCCACTCCTTTTCGAGTTTATGCGATTCCCTATGTTTTGCTGGTTGCCATGTGTTTTCTCTTTTCAGTCGACTCGGTTTAAAAGACTAAATCATCAGTTAACTACTGACGTCTTTTTTTAAACAGATATCTATAAAATGCGATTGCAAACAATTGAAAATTATGATCTCAGTTTGCCATCCACCTACAGTTTTGTAGTTGCTATATTGTATAGAGGTCTAAATGGAGTTGTTTTCTTTGGTCTATTGAGCATCAGTCCAACAACAACTGTATACGCAAATCATACCATATTGAACAGCTTGCGTTTCCTAAATTGTTTTTTTTTCTGGAAGTAGAGTTGTTACCTACACAGAAAAAAGTAAAATCACAAAAATACTGAACTCCGAAGCAAATTCAAAAAGGTAAGATCAAATGGCAAAAATCAAAAGCTCAAACACATCACACGAATAGACATCAATTGTCATATTCCTGACTTGGTACAGGCATTTTCTTATGTAAAATAATGGTGAATTAAACCTGGTTTTAAAGCTAGCTAAACCTCTCACTTGTATGACAGTCGCATCAAATTCAATTATGTTGACAACAATGTGTGTACAAAACAAACAGACATAATAGGTAAAAATGTCAAAAAATAGGGGTACAACAGTCAACATTGTGTTATAATCTCAATCACTATAAAAACAAACACATATTTAACAGAGAAGCACACAATGGCAAAAAGACCAAGTGCATTAGCAAAAATTAAAGAATACAAAATTTACATAAGCACATAAAACCATTACCTAAAGAATCGAATGAAAATAGGATGGATTTCTTCGGCAAAGTACTACAGTTGATGGTCTACGGGTTAATTAATTTTATGTATATTTTAGAAAAGAGGGGCGTAAGAAACAAAAGGGACAGTAAAACTCATAGATCGAAAATAAACTGGCAACGCCATGGCTTAAAAAGAATAAGACAAACAGACAAATAATACTACATAAGACACAATATAGAAAACTAAAGACTAAGCAACACGAACCTCACCAAAAACTGGGGGTGATATCAGGTGCTCCGGAAGAGTAAGCACATCCTGCTCCACAAGTGAACCCCGTCGTGTTTTTCATGTTATTACAAATCCGGTAAATAATTCGGTAGATCACATTCGTGAAAAGGGACAAAGATTGTAGTTACGACATAAGGAACATATCCGATTTCATCTGTGAAACGGTTATTCCATAACGGTCAACCAACTCGTGATGGCGTCCGTAAAATTTACGCAGGGATAATTTCAATTTCACCATTTGGAACTCTTGGTTAAATAGCTTCCTAGAAGATGGGCGGCAATTACAAAACAGATATTATAAAAACTGACAAGTCCATGACAGAACCCCAAAAATGATTACAAAACAAACAACAGAACACAAAATACACAATGCAAAAACTTTGCAACATAAATTCCATCAAAATTCGGTGGTGATCCTGGAGGGTGATCACTTCTTGCTCAACATGTGATACTCGTACAATTTATAACTGCCCTTTGATTTGATATTGCATACCAATTTAAAAAAGAATCAATAAAGATATTCATGAGTCTATTCTATTTATTCAGTATCTCTTTGAGTAAATAGTACTGAATATTATTCTATATGATTTCGTTTTACTCACTTCCATGAATGCACACAAATTGCTGTTTGTAATCTTAGAAACGTTCTTGATAGATTATTTGCAGTTTGATTTAAAACTTTTTTTTCAATATAAGTCCTCAAAAAGGAATGATTTGTGTCTTTTGTTTGTGTGTGTTGTTGTTTGTTATCTGTACTCAGTCTGCATTTTTAAATCATGATTAGCTGTGTTCTAGATTAACTGTGTTCTAGAATTATGCTATTTCAACACTCCGAACGTTACGGCAGACTTCATGTCGATCGCAATTGTTTCATATTGTTCATGTCGGGGCCTTTTAAAGTTGACTATATTGTTTTGGATTATCATTTTTGTTTTATTGTAGGAGGGCATACCTCATAGAGGGATATCAGGGTTGATCAAAAGAAAAAACCGACCGTAGGGAGGTGTTTCTTTTGGGCAATCTTGACACCCCGAGGTGTGTTCTACGACAAGAAAACCTTTAAATATGCATTATCTGAATTATATACCGTAAAAAAAAAACTATTTTCTACAAAGATTTGCAGAATTACCATCCTATTTTACCGACCACACTAAAATTGGATATTCCTGTCAGATGCGTTCAGGTTTTTATACGCCCTACAGCGCATTTAGAATGTGAAATAAAACTCACTAATTAATCTAGATATAAACGTTAGAAATCATTATCAAGACACAATAAAAGTATCACTGTATCAGCATGAAGAAAGAAAAAAATGAATTGTTACCACCCGATAACGGTATATGAAAAATACAAGTCACTTTGTAAGTTATCTATTGTACCCATTTAGTTTATGGAAAGTGGGTGCTATGTGTTTTTTCTATTTGTAATGATATCTTTATCGCGGAAAAGTTATTATTTTCCACCATTTTTAACGAATGAACTATTCAGAATAATTTTCATTTGAATGGCAATATCTTTTTTTAAACAGAAAATCAGGATTTATTTTTATTTTTTTTTTTGAGGTACCTGGCTGTTATTTATTAAATATCACAATAGTTTATCAGTTGATCATTTGGTAGAGTAAAAAGTATATATAGATGTAAAAAGTTAAGAGCTGACACGAAGAGTGCACAAAATCGTGGTACATGTACACGTAAAATGAAAACGAATATCAATACATATAGGGCACAGTATGATTTCTATTCAGTTTGAATCAATAAGATTTCCAAAATCCTTCATACGAATCTGCCTTGTTTTAAAAGTGTTATGAAAAATATTACATTATAATTTATCTCACATAACATTAATTCTTTCTAAAGTTAAAATGCGCGTCAATGACGATTTTATGTTAAACCTATCAAAGATGGAACTTTATAAAAAAAATAATTCCCCAATTGGCAACAACAAACTATCAAACGAATTAAATATTGGAGTAAATTATAGTTTGCTTTTCTCAATGAAAATAATTACCTTACACAGGTCATTATTTTATGCATTGAAACATATTTCATTGAAACATGGTATCGTCCGGGTTGATTCTTCGAAAGAATGACTTATCTTTCTGAAAGAAAAAAAAACTCCATATAGGTATATAAGATTGCCTATAATTGCTTTTATCCACTTCACTTGAACTGTGGTAGATATTTGTCTTATTGGCAATCTTGCCATATCTAGTTATTTTCTCATATAAAGGTAAAGAATTAAAAAAAATAGAAAATAGATACATTATGTCTTAACTCTGCGTTGGTGCATTTAAGTATTCTTAACTTACGTCATGGTATGTTGGTCGGAGAAATGTTTGTATATTTTATCTAAATAGCTCAGACTAGAAGAAAAACGACATGTAAGAGATAACCGTATTGTATTTGAAGCTTTGCGGTCGTCATAGGTGTCAAACGTAATCACCTGGCGATAACTGGCTTCATGCCCGCCTTAAAATGTAACGACATTAGATTAAACGTTTTTCAAAAAACAATTCCTGACATATTTTATTTCAAAATAGTAGGATTATATAGGGTTAGTAGTTTTGTTTCTTTTCCTTTTTTGGAATTGACGCAATTGCTTTCTTTTTTTTAAGTTTTTGTCAATATACTTATTACTATTGGAACAAATAAACATATTAAGAAATAAATCATGGAAAATAAAACATCGTGTCACATTTAAAGCAGAAACTGTCTATTACTCAAAAGCACCTGAATTAAACGCCTAGTTTGAGTTGGCGTTTGGGTTACATAGTCTTAACCATGGCGAAGTTGATTGCTTTTATTGCTTTTATTTTTTACCAACTGTCAGTTTTTCCCTTCTCATAATTTTTGATATATTCAGATCAAATAAACATGTAGAGAAGATCCATGAATACATATAAAGTCTGGATATTAGTAAAATATCTTTCTATAATTACTTTAAATATCAGCCCAACAATGTGAAATCTACAATCTCTTAACTGCGTAAACTAGACGCACATGCTTATGCCGATGTTAATTAATAACACAAATGTTTCCAATTTCACTGTACCATATGCGCATTTTGACAACAAATGTCTTTTAAAAGATACTCATAGCAAAATATCTGAAAATTTGAAACATGTTCAAACACTGGAAAGCTTATAAACAAAACAAAACAAAAAGTATAGATAAGGAATCAGAGCTTTGAAGAAGGAGACATATTCTTAAGTTTTGAATTATTTCCTAAAATTTGCAACAGTTACTTCAATTAACAATACAACTTTCACATGCTTTAAAAACTAGTTCCACACTCTGATAAAAGTCTGAACAACAAGTGCCATTGGTCACAATACAATTATCATGACAATCACAATCACATTGTGTACATCCACAACCATTCGTTTGACAAATATCGCGGCATGATGGCGTATATGAAGGTTCTGTGAAAAAGAAAAATATTTAGTTTTTTTTTTTTTAAATTATATTAAAGGTAGAGGACATTTTACAAGAAATGCACAACATAATACGTTTGTCAAATCATCAAAAATAAACGAAGTTGAGATCCACGTTCTCGGCATGCAACATTTAGCCTGCCAATATTTTAACCAAATGTAATGTGTCCCTACCAGAATGTATCGTAAAGAGTATTTATAATCTGCACAAAACAGACAAAATGACTCCAAACCACAAGTTTATCTCAATTTTTAACCGTAAGAATCATAAACATTATAAAGTTGTCGGATATTTTAACCTTGTATATAAGCGAAACATATTTCATTTTTAAACTAAGGTTTGTATTTGTTAGGAAAAATTGTTCTGAGATAATTAGGTTTTTATTTTCATCGCGTCCCTGTTGGGTCTTTTATCTGCTGAAGTTATATATGTGTAATATTCTTGTATTTTATGTATAGGTTAAATAACCCTTCTGAGCTTAGAAAAGCGCTTAAGACTCACAACATCCTATACATATAATTGTATAGCTTATATATCAAATAATAATTACCGTTACAACACTTTTTATGATGACAGCACCCATGTCCAGTCCGACCTAGTTCTGTTGATAGACATTTTCTTTTACACTTTCCATTCATTGCAGAACATCGTGTTCCATGTCCTTCTAAAGAATAACATCAAAATATATGAATTAACTTAAATTGTTGCTGTCTGTTTTTGAAACCTTTTGAACGCTATTACCTTGTTAGTTAATGTATTTTGTTTAATAATTGACCATAAAAAAGGAGCTATTATCAAATCTTATGTATAAGATTAACTGTGGAATGTGTGCAAAAAAGTTATTTTGACTATTTTGTGGTCCCTTTTTATTAAATAAACCGATTTAATTACCTCAAAGAATGCAACATTTTCTCTTTGAAAGGGACGAAGAGTAGTTTTGTCAATGATTCTTTTAAAACATATATTTTAGTTTGTATCAATAATTATATGTCTTTTTACGGTAAACAAATAGGTGTTCTCGTGGTAGAGCTATCGCCTCGACAACTGTAGGGAATTAATTCAAAGATATCAAAGCAATCTATATATGTGTATTAGTAAAAAAAAAACTAACAATGCCGTGGCAATGGAACGAAGATAAGTTGAGTCAATGATTCTTTTAAAACATATTTTTGAGTTTGTATCAATAATCATATGTATATTTACGGTAACCACATCGGTGTTCTCGTGGTAAAGATATCGACTCAACAGCTGCAGGGATTACATTCAAATGAACCTTAAAATGTATTAGAAAAAAATCATTGCCGTAGGAGTAAAAAAAGAAAAACGACAACAACACAAACAACAGTACATAAAAAACAACATGGACAATCAAAATTTGAACATTCAGAACAACATAAAAAATGTGGGTGTTATCTCATGTGCTTCGAAAAGGAAAGCAGATCGTGCTCTGTTTGTAGCACATACAGTTTTGCTTATGTGAGTACTCATCCTACGAAAAGTCATATTTGGTAGGTAGGTCTGTGGAAAGTGGACATGATATTCCATAAAAGATAAGCAACTCGTGATGAAGTCTGTAAAACTTCCGAAAAGATTATTTAAACTCTACCACTTGTAACTCTTGTGAGAAGCAACCTTCCATCAAGAATATATTGATAGGAAATACATGCAGACTCCATGTACAGGCGCTTTTGGAATGTTTTTTATATAAAAATAAAAAAATCCAAATTTGGAAGCTGAAATCATTTCTTTTTTTAAGTTTTGTTCGCAACCGACTCTAACTGGTAATTTCTGTAAGTATACTTAACACAGAATACTTTTTCGGGCTAGGGTGAAGGTTGGAACCTATTAAAACGTTTAAAACCCGCTGCACTTGCGCCTTTGCACCTGTCCTAAGTCAGGAACCTGATGTTCATCAGTAGTTGTCGTTTGTTGATGTGGTTCATAATTGTTTCTCGTTTCTTTTTTTTTATATAAATTAGACCGTTGGTTTTCCCGTTCGAATGGTTCTACGCTAGTCATTTTTGGGGCCCTTTATAGCTTACTGTTCGGTGTGAGCCAAGGCTCCGTGTAGAAGACCTTACTTTGATCTTAAGACGTGTTTATATTTACAGCATATAGGTATATTAAATTTGTATTTACATTGTGTCATAGATCAGTGTATGTTCACTTGTGTTTTTGTTAATATGTCTTTTGGTTGAGTAAAGCCATTTCAATTGATATTTTATAGTGTGTCTTTCTATGTTGTGAGGTTACAATATTGTTTCAGGTTGGGTGAAGTTTGGTGCCTTTTCAAACGTTTAAATCTGCAGCATTTGTTTGCACCTATCCTAAGTCAGGAACCTGATGTTCAGTGGTTGTCGTTTGTTAATGGGGTTCATAAGTGTTTCTCGATTCTCGTTTTTTATTATGTGAATTAGAATTTCATGTTTGAAAGGTTTTACACTATAAAAGCCCTTTATAGCTTGCAATTCGGTGTTAGCCACGGCTCTGTGTTGAAGGCCGTATTTGACATATAATGGTTTTTCTTTTACAAATTGTGACTTGGATGGAGAGGTGTCTGATTGGCACTAATACAACATCTTCTAATATCTATATAGGCATATCTTGCTGACATTAATCTGTTCAAAAAGTTTTAAAATATATGAATGTTATTTACTTAGCAAAAAAAGATGATTCATCTATAAAAAAAACACAAAAATAAAAGATACAACTACGTCTTACCTTGTGAAACCATGATAATACTAATGAAGGTTTACATTGTGAACTTCATGTCAAAATGCCATGTACCACGCAAGTGCATCATGTGCGTACGAGATCTGTGCTTTTGTACTGACATGCGGTGTGTTGCTTATACAAATAATTATATTCGTTTAAATCTGAAAAAAGGTGATGGAAATGACAGAAAGATTTTTAGAGGCTATTTCATATCTATTTTACTGTTCTAATTCTGGGATATAACACTTATTATTAATATTTGTATACAGATGTATATATCGTGATAAAAATTAAAAACATTGAAGGCTAGACGTTTGTAGCTATAACTAATATATAATTCGAATGAAAATACTTTACGATTTAATGAAGTCTTATCTTATCCATTTATACATACGGATGAATATTTAAAAGCTTTAAGTACAGCTCTATTGTATGGAAATAAGAACAAGTGGTGTGATTGATATTGGGTTAATTGGGTAAAGATTCTTAATTGATTTTCCATAGGCGGTAATGGTAAAATTTTCCTCTCTTGCTCAATCCATATCGTTTACTTGAATATAAATGATGGCTCATATCGAAGCTTACACATTTATACATGTCTGGTTAAATTTATGGATGGCAAGTGAGATTAATTTTTTTCACAAATTGCCGGACCTCGAAAAATTGTGAAAATTGTCACTCTTCTCATGAAATAATCCCAAAATTCTGATCATAAAATTCAATAAACATTTATCCTTTCTTATAATTTATTTAAGGTCAAATCCAAATATTTCTTTTCTCATCACATCAGCTCTATAAAACAGTTCATATTGTTATTTGTTGTCGATTTTTAAAATCACAGCAACCACAATTGTATGGCGGACTTATATTTTTTTAATTACGTCATCTGAGTTCCTCATCTCAAGGTCCATTAGGGATATTGACCCAATTATTCACTGCTGTTAAACCAAAGTTGATGTAAGCTGTTATCGGGCAATGTACAGCCTTCAAAAATGACCCAAACCTATATGTTCAGAATTTTTTAGGTCTTGCGACACTGAATTTCACCAGAAACATTCTACGCAATCAGTAAGATATTCAAAACAGTCAAAACAATCTACTGCAAAGTAGTATGTATAATGTTAAATCTATGCTTCAAGTATAATGTTTAAATAATCTCCTCTGAGGGTAAATTACGGAATAAAACGCAGAGCATTGCGTTTTTTTTTTTATTAATGATAGTTTCATGTTATAACTTTTCTGCCAAACCTTAATTTAAACAATTTATGGGGCTCGTGCTGTTTAGTTGTTAGTTGTCACTATTATATTTTGTATACAGTTGGTCTTTTTTATCGTATTATCGTTTGTCGTGGGATTGTTTTACTTCTAGTTTCAAATATTAATGTCATCAGTGAGGCTAGAAACCGACCTATTTGTAACTTGAAAACGTAATTCAAATGTTGACAAGGTTTGGATGCACTTATTTGTTTATCTCTGCTACTCATAAAATTCATGTAAAATACAAATTACTTGCTGATTAAAATTCACAATAGATCTTAAGGAAGGTTAAAATTTAACACAGTAAACATTATATTTTGTACGAGCTGATTAAATCTTTATATATTTTTCATTCTTCCAATGTTTAAGGATGTTCGCTTCTCTGGTTTTTGAACTTTTTCCAAAAATTCGGAATCTGCTGGTTTTTCCAATGTAGTGCCATTTAAAAAGATTTCCACACTTACCCCTCCTTTTATTTTCATAATTTTATTACATATACAATAAGTCGACTATCGTTATCTCGAAGTCAGTTGAACCAGATAAATATTTCGAGATACCCGTAGTTCGACTCAAACGAAAACCGGATGTTTGACAGAACTAGGGATTCAAATCTAGCTTAGCTTGGTAAAGCTAAAATAAATCCGGATGAATATGGAAAGGTGATATTCTGGTCTAAGTTCATTGTATTTGTATGCTATGGTCTTTCATTGTTACAATAACATTGTTTACACTTATTTAATTATTTCTTTCAAATGTTAAAATTTTCCCCATGGCTTTTATCCGAGAGAGTAATTTCTAATCAATCTTAGCGTGATTTAAGTCATTTAAAGTTGACAAAAATTATATTCTCGGATACAAGAGATTTTAAACACAGTCGTGCTGATCAATGTGTAAATAAATTTTATTTATTGGTAGAGAAGAAAATAATTGTATTATAAACATAATGTGTATCTATGAATGAGGTATGCACTGTTCATGAATCGTTATGCACTATCCATGTATGCCGTTTTCACAGTGTATTGATGATGAATGTACTGTGTGTGTAAGCTGTATGCACTTTTCATGTATGGGTTATGCACTAGAAATGTATGCCGTATGCCAGTTCATCAATGCCGTTTGCGCAGTCCTTATATGTTGTATGACAAGTCCATATATGACGTATGCGATGTTAATTTATGCGTTATGCATTGTTCATTGTATGTTTTTTGCCCTGTCCATGTTTGATTTATGTACTGTCAATGTATGCGTTATGCACTGTCCATGTATACGTTATGCACTGTCCATGTATGATGCATGTGCTGTCAATGTATATGTTGTGCACTGTTCATGAATACGTTATGCACTGTCCATTTATGATGTATACACTGTCCAGCTACGCGTTACACACTCTTTGTGTATGCATCATCCTTGGATACGTAATAAGCTGTCCTAGTATGAGTTATGCACAGTAATGTTACATTGTGTTGGTATGTTTAATTTATCTACATGTTATAGTGATTAGACTATAAGGCACCAAAGCATCTTTTAAAAAAATACACTTTTCTGCTGGGTAACGTATTACACCGACAGACAACTTTATTTTTCAAATAATTCCTCCCTAAAAAAAAGTGTGTACTGTCAAGTTTGTTCTATATATGGCAAAAGGAAGATTGCAGGCACTTGGTACCTTTTCTTAAGTTAGATTTAAAACAAAATAATACAACTATTCTCCTTCGTATATTTAACCGATACAAGAACAATCAACTGAAGATACACCAGTTTTCGACTTGTGCATTTAGTCTGGTGGTTTTTTGTGAATGAAAAAACGTACATAATTTTCTTTAATAATATTTAAAAAAATCGTGTAATGCAATACATACAATTGTTCTTTATAATGTAAAATAAGTCACAATTATTTCTGAGAGTCCGAAGCGCTATTGTGAATGTAACTGCATCAAGCCCAAGTTTGTAAAGACCAAAGATATATTAGACCTTAACATGTTCAGAGCTACATGAACAAAGGGAAACTAACATCTAAAACAAAGTTAAGCTCAACTTTGCCGGAGGAAGTTTGAACCATAGTTAGAAATAGTACATACATTGAAACAACTTTTATCGTATGTTCCAATATATGGTCATGGCGAAAGAGATACTGCACAAGCTACTCAGTTTACCATTGTTGTAGTTCTTATGTTGGTCCTATCTCTTTTCCAGTTTAATATCAGCTGCAAAAACAAAACAAACAAAACAGAAGGCAAACAAATTATTGCACAAGAAAAAAACAAATGAAAGTCAACTTATTTTCCTGAAATTATTTCCCTAGAAAAAATCCTTTAGAAATGCAAGTCAATACAAAGAGAAAGAAAAATGCAAAAAGTCATTCATCCTTATTAAATCATATATCTTGAAAAGAAAATCTATCGAAATATTGACCTCATGTTAGTCCTTTTGTGGGTTTTATGAGCTCGGTAACGTTTGAATAAGGTTATAAATTTTCAAATACTGTTGTTTTGAGCATCACTGAAGAAAAATGTACCGTTTTCTTTTACATTCAATTTTGGTAATCTGATATGATTTCTATTATAGTTTCAGTAATATTCTTCACTGAATGAATAGACACTAAAATCCATACATTCAGATAATTAAGTGATGTAACTCAGTTGTTTTCATAACATATGTCACGCATGTTTTTCCCTGTTATTTTCGTGTAGATATAAAATGGTAACCGCTTTTACCATGTTTATTTCATTGGATTTCCCTGTAAGTAAACTATGAATCATTATGAAACAAAACATAATACATAAAAAAATTTAAAAATGAAATATATTAGAAACTTTTTTCAATTTGTTATCAAAATTTGATAGAAGCGTGTCCTTATAAATGTTTAAAATCTATGTATATTTTGAAAGATTCTAACAGTTTCATGTTTTTGATGTTTCTTTAATTTGCCTTATGACAAAATTTTAAAATCAGTTCATAAAAACATACAATATAACATGTACAGAAAAATCTATCGCCACATTTACATGGATTAGTTACACAATATGTATGACACAAAAAAAGCATGGTACATTTAATAGTACATTGACAGGATTAATTATCATGCTATATTCAGTATCGCATAACAAATTAATACACATTTAAATAAAAGATAATATCAAATACCAGTATTATTGAGAGATCTTTATACCATTACAGGTTAACTTCATATAATCAACAAATGAAACACAAATATATATATATCAAATTTATGCAAATATGTAAATGTTAAAAACACACAACAACCATTATATTGTTTTATTTTATACTAATATTTTTCCAGTGCATTTACAATGATTATAAAGCATAACGATAATAAATATAAAAATATGAAACGTTGATTTACAAATCACAACATACATTGTGAAAAATATGAGACAAAAATAAACAACAAATAAAAGGTATTTTGCATTTGTTTTGTAAAAGCTTTAAATGAGTGGATGATGGGAATAGTTTAACATTAACACTAAGTTAAATGTTAACATAAATTTCCACAGACCAGTCAAGCCCTATTGGTACTATAACCTAATTTTAATTTCATGTAATTATATGACAAAGTTCATAATTAGTCATACTTATTTATATCTGCTTACTTTCTTGCTTATAGAACAAAAGTCCATGAACCCGTTCTGTATCTGTGTGCAAAACAATAGGAACTTCTCCTGCATTTTTGTTTATTTTCAAAATTTGTGTACTGCTTGTGTAGAAGATGAACTCATCGTTGACATCGATGTCCCCGTTCAGCTTAAAGGAATTGGTGCTAACTATCGTCTGAATATCGGTCCCATCAAACCAAGCTGATTTTAAATCTCCCATTGAATTGTCCATCCAGTAAAGTCGGGTATCGTCTAAAATGAACAGAAAAACCTAGGTGATAGGTACTCAACCTCAAATAAGTTATTCATTTGTTATTGATTGACTCACATCCATCACACTGAATTACATTTGTTAGTTTCCGTGTCAGTTTGGAGGATCTTGTTAAGTAAATCATCCGTTATTACTCTTGTAATTGGTATGATGATGAGTTTGAAATAGTATGCATTACCTAGTTTGATAACAGCTGCAAAAACAAAACAAAACAAAAACAGAGTTTTAGATTTTATAAATGTAAATAGATATATCAGGTTTTTATGAACTTTAGTCATGTTCATATTGTCAAAAACGTGAACCAAGATGTAACATCACCACTTACCTAGAACACTAATAAAATATATAAAGTCTTTGAACTAAAAAAAAACATTATAAAGTATGTGCTTCTAGGACGCATTTCTTGAATGACCTCTTTCGGTTTGATTGAAATTTGAAATTAACAAAAGGAATTTATAAACGCTTAAAATAAAAAAGAATAATGAACATAATCGTCTGCGCTCAACTTTACACGAGAAATTTGAAAGCTTATTTTCTTTAAAAAAAATAAATTCATCACTGAAAAATTTATAAAAATGCATACCAACCTCCGGGGCAAGCAATCAAAAGCAAAGGCTTCAGTCCGGGTTAAGAACAATAAAAGTGACGCCATATACTAGTAATTCATGATACCATAGCACTTCTTGGATTTACAATCATCAACCAATGTCAACAATTTAATGCGATAAATTGGACAATGACTACAAATTGGTGGTCACAGGTTTGTTTCATTTGAAAACATGAACTAAAAAATTGTATAAAGATGAGAGTTTGAAAATAATACTCACTTACGGTAGAAAAAAGATAAACATATAAAGCGTTCAATATTCTAGCTTACTTAGTCATTTAATCACTTAATGTATACTTTTTCAAATTGTAATTATTATATGATTGTTACGTTATTTCGAACATTTCATGGATACTGCATGAACGCTACAATCATTTGTTTTCACTTGTATGCAGATGTCATACCTGCATGTATACCAAACACCCACGATGCCTGGTCATTTATAATATGGTGTCCCTCACCTTCCAGTGATAATTTGTGTATTGTTCCATTGGGAATGCCTTGACCAAAGTACATCCATCTGCAATTATAGGTAGAAAACAGGCATTTGCTACATTTAAGTAATATTTGTTCAAAACGTACAAGCGGCCTAAACTTTATTACAAAAAATACACAAAAATCAAATATGATACATGTATACAACAACAAAGGACAACCACTGAATTACAGGCTCTGACTTGGATAGGGAAGATAAAGAAGGCGGGGTAAACGAAAACACATATATGATTAACAACACCAAAAACGAAAACTAGAGGCATATAGAATATGCCACGTTAAATCAGGACAGTGTTGTACATTTTGTACCAGCACAACATACACATAAACTATAAATATCAGTTGAAAAGGGCAAAATTCATCAGATCCATACAAAGCCCAAACACAAATAACAAAAAAACAAAGTAAATTAAGTACACATTTGAGAGTACATGCCATGATTAGGTTCAAAGTCAATTACAAATAATGAATCAGTTATCATGTATCTAAGACTTAAATATCAACAGCCAACATCATTTAGTGTAAAGGCGTCAAACACAGGCAGAAAAAAATATGACCTTGTCCAATGCAAAAATACAGGTATCGATAGATTCTAGGATCGCAAATGAACATATACTCTTTGGTCGGGTTGTTGTCTCTTTGACACATTCCCTATTTTCATTCTCAATTTTAGATGTGAATAGCAATAATATTTTTCTATATATATTCTAGCTTACTTAGTCATTTAATCACTTAATGTATACTTTTTCAAATTGTAATTATTATATGATTGTTACGTTATTTCGAACATTTCATGGATACTGCATGAACGCTACAATCATTTGTTTTCACTTGTATGCAGATGTCATACCTGCATGTATACCAAACACCCACGATGCCTGGTCATTTATAATATGGTGTCCCTCACCTTCCAGTGATAATTTGTGTATTGTTCCATTGGGAATGCCTTGACCAAAGTACATCCATCTGCAATTATAGGTAGAAAACAGGCATGTTGCTACATTTAAGTAATATTTGTTCAAAACGTACAAGCGGCCTAAACTTTATTACAAAAAATACACAAAAATCAAATATGATACATGTATACAACAACAAAGGACAACCACTGAATTACAGGCTCTGACTTGGATAGGGAAGATAAAGAAGGCGGGGTAAACGAAAACACATATATGATTAACAACACCAAAAACGAAAACTAGAGGCATATAGAATATGCCACGTTAAATCAGGACAGTGTTGTACATTTTGTACCAGCACAACATAAACATAAACTATAAATATCAGTTGAAAAGGGCAAAATTCATCAGATCCATACAAAGCCCAAACACAAATAACAAAAAAACAAAGTAAATTAAGTACACATTTGAGAGTACATGCCATGATTAGGTTCAAAGTCAATTACAAATAATGTATCAGTTATCATGTATCTAAGACTTAAATATCAACAGCCAACACCATTTAGTGTAAAGGCGTCAAACACAGGCAGAAAAAAATATGACCTTGTCCAATGCAAAAATACAGGTATCGATAGATTCTAGGATCGCAAATGAACATATACTCTTTGGTCGGGTTGTTGTCTCTTTGACACATTCCCTATTTTCATTCTCAATTTTAGATGTGAATAGCAATAATATTTTTCTATATATATTCTAGCTTACTTAGTCATTTAATCACTTAATGTATACTTTTTCAAATTGTAATTATTATATGATTGTTACGTTATTTCGAACATTTCATGGATACTGCATGAACGCTACAATCATTTGTTTTCACTTGTATGCAGATGTCATACCTGCATGTATACCAAACACCCACGATGCCTGGTCATTTATAATATGGTGTCCCTCACCTTCCAGTGATAATTTGTGTATTGTTCCATTGGGAATGCCTTGACCAAAGTACATCCATCTGCAATTATAGGTAGAAAACAGGCATGTTGCTACATTTAAGTAATATTTGTTCAAAACGTACAAGCGGTCTAAACTTTATTACAAAAAATACACAAAAATCAAATATGATACATGTATACAACAACAAAGGACAACCACTGAATTACAGGCTCTGACTTGGATAGGGAAGATAAAGAAGGCGGGGTAAACGAAAACACATATATGATTAACAACACCAAAAACGAAAACTAGAGGCATATAGAATATGCCACGTTAAATCAGGACAGTGTTGTACATTTTGTACCAGCACAACATAAACATAAACTATAAATATCAGTTGAAAAGGGCAAAATTCATCAGATCCATACAAAGCCCAAACACAAATAACAAAAAAACAAAGTAAATTAAGTACACATTTGAGAGTACATGCCATGATTAGGTTCAAAGTCAATTACAAATAATGAATCAGTTATCATGTATCTAAGACTTAAATATCAACAGCCAACATCATTTAGTGTAAAGGCGTCAAACACAGGCAGAAAAAAATATGACCTTGTCCAATGCAAAAATACAGGTATCGATAGATTCTAGGATCGCAAATGAACATATACTCTTTGGTCGGGTTGTTGTCTCTTTGACACATTCCCTATTTTCATTCTCAATTTTAGATGTGAATAGCAATAATATTTTTTTATTGATAACAAAATAAATATTTATACCGATAAAAACAAAGATCCATTTACCGTTTTGAATTAGTAACTTTTTAGAATAAGTTTATTAAAGGATTTATAAGTTTACACGGATCGTATCTAAAATTTTGAAATAATATATCTGTTGTCGTTTGTTGCTGTAAATTGTATTTGTATTTCGTTCATTGTTTCTTTTTAAACTTAAACCATGCCGTTGGTTTTCTCGTTTGAATTGTTTTACATTTGTCATTTCCAGGTCTTTTATAGCTGATTATGCGGTGTGGGTTTTGCCAATTTTTGAATGTCGTACAATAAACTATAGTTTTTATCTCATATTTCATTTGGTGTTTAGTAATGAGTTGTCTTATTTTACCACATCTTCTTATTTTTAAAGTAAAGGTTTTAAGTAAAGATAAGGTGGCAAAATCATTGACTTAATCGTTTACCAGTTATTCATAGATTGCGTTCAGTGAAATTAAAAACAACTTCACTACAAACAGAGGCATAGAGTTTGGATAATATAAACACCGTCCACAAAACGAAAATAATAACAATAGGAATCGGAAAAAACGGCTCTTTTGTCGTAAAGTTTTATGTTGAGTCTCCAGTGTAAAGGTAAAATATATTAATTTAGAAAAGGGCAGTTATTGTAGTTTATACATATATTTGATTTATTTAAAATCAGTTCCTTTAGGTAAATTTTGGTAGTATTTTTAGAGATTTCTTGAAGATATCATTAATATTATGGTAAGTGTTGTAGAATTTATCAATTAACTGGATTCAGACGGATCTTTACTGACTGTCAGCAGACACGGTCGGCCGGTACGAACACAAACATCTTTGAGGGTACTTCAAATTGGTTTCTTATTCTACAATTCATGTAATAGGATTTAAAAAGGTGTATTGCATTACCTGTTTCAAATCTGTCTTAGGTCGGGAATGATATTTTGATCCTTTTTTCAAAACGTTGTTACCCTCTCGGTCTTGAACGTTGTTGAGGTCCTCCGTACTTGCATGACAATACGGATCATATATACGTATACAGTTCGATCATTCGCAGTCTCAAGTTAAATAAGCATAATTCTCTTTCTTTTACGCCTGAAGTTCCTGTCGTATAATTCAAAATAAAACTCATACTGTTCTTTTTAAGTATAAAACATAACAGGGAGTTTTCGGTTATGAAAAAATCGAAGTTTTATAGTTTTACATGATAGAGTCGTAAACGTACAAGATAAATTGATACTAATTTAATTTTCAGAAAATCTGGTCAATGATCTTCAGTTATATCAATACGCGGGAACAGCCTTTGGTAACGAAATGCTAGGTTGTTTACTAAAAAATACAATGCAGTTATGTATTACAATATGGACATGTTATTGTATTAAAGAATTAATAATCATAATACAAGAAAGGTTACCAACCTATGTCCTTTGTCAATTGTAAGTGCAGCAGGTTCGACTGTGTCATTACAAATTCTGGTTTTATTTAATCCATCTGTATTACATCTCATTATCTTTCCTTCCATAGGTTCAGTCCAGTATAGATGACTATGTTCGGAGTCAAATGCGATCCCGCCAGGATCAATTTCCGAGACAACAATTTCAAACTCAGTGGTTTGATTACTTGGATAAGGAAATCTGAATCAAGCAAAAACACTTTGCTATATAAGCAAACACCAACACACATAAAACACATTTTTCAATATCACTTTATTTAGACGGTTATCTATTTGTTCTTTAAATTGATTACGATGTAGATACGTTGTGAGAAGAAAGTGACTTGTATAATATACAATTATGGCCCGCTGAGGAGGTGAATATCCGAAATTGTCAACCCGAGTAAGGGTTATTTAAAGAGGGCTGTAGCCGACTCAATGGGCCTTAATTGTTTTATTATACCGAACGAACATATTACTATTAAAACTAAAATATTGTAACAGATTGTCAAAACATTTACGTTATAATATTATGTTCTGTCTATTGACATTTCGCGTATGTACAACAAAGGTAGACTCTTTCTGTAAAATATAGATGGCCCTGAAAAGAGCCGTTTACAAGAGATATCGTCGACACTAGATGAATTTCCAAGTCTTGTATGGTCTTGTTACTTCATCACTTGGTGGACTTCTCACCTGGCCGTTGCCATATTTGTTTTTGTTTCTCTGACGTTAAGTGACGTCATACTTTAAAGGGAGTCAACTCTTGATCATTGACTTCGACAAGGGTTATTCACCAGTGAATAATAGGGTTGTTCGATGGAGGTTTCAATTTGTCGGGATTATTCACCGGGGAATAATAGGGTTGATCGATGGAGGCTTCAATTTTTTAGGGTCATTCATCGCTTCTGCCAATTTTTGAAAAAACAATCAAAATTAAACTGTTTTAGCCAATCAAGTATTTACTATATAATGTAAGGTATAGTAATCTTAATTGTTCTTTTTTTTTCTTATTTTAAAATAGTATCTGTATTTCCAATCTCATAATTTGAACTTACTTCATAACTTGTGTGGATGAAATGAATATGAAGATGTGACTGCCTGGATGTGTTTCCAAACACAATAACATCTAACCGCCTCGTTATACGATCTATTGACAAGAATTGCTTATATTTGATTAATTACAAATTGATAGTTTTGATTGACTTACCTTATTATTTGCCCCTGAGTCTGTCTTGGAACATACACATATTTTTCTTCATTATCGTATGCAAGTACAAATACCTTACTTTCTGCATTACCAAGTACTATCACTTTCCCGTTTTTTATATTCAATTCTTTTATTTTTCCAGAAGAAGTCGAAAACAACAGCTTTTCTTCAAAACCTGCAATGAACATTTCAAATATCAATTCAGGCTGATATTTTTAAAACAAATACTAAATCAAATGGTAAATACAAGAATATAGACCTTTATCTTTTAGAAAGGGGAATTGAAAGTAGCTATCTGGAGAAGAAATGTATTTTGCTCAAATCCTAAAGATGCATTTCACTACTGTAAACCGGGAACATTTCGCGTCGACTTTTTTTTCGCGATTTACAAAAATTCTATATTTGCGCCGTTTTAAATTAGCAATGTCCCGGTCGGTACTCGATATAAATTTTTTCATCAATGATTTGAAAAATGTTGAGTGTAAATAAATCTATTTAAATCAAGTCATAAATTCTATCAAAATACATTTCTTGTCGGTTCATATTTTAAACTATTAATCATGTTTGCTTGTAAATACACTGTCACAGAAACCACAGAGGAATGACCTAATTAAGAGTGAATTAAATGCTATTTAGGAATATCAAGAGATAATGTTTCGATATTTTACACTGAGTTTCCTTCAGAAATAAAGTTTTGTTTTTTTGCGGTATAGATCTGTCGTCTTTAAAAACGATGTTTAAACAATAGACATCTACATATCCTATTAACATACTTTCATGTATGGTCTTCATATTTGTGTTCGGATTTCTTTGAATTATTCGCGGTCGTTTTATTTTCGAGTTGCAACTCTTTCCGCGAAAATAGCGAAAAAAACTACCGCGAAAATTTCCCTGTTTACAGTATGTTATATTTTATATGTTTTGGGGGAATAAACAATATAACAGAACATTGCAGAAAATTACAAACTGAAAATAAATGGTACTACAGAAACGATTAATTGCGTATCAAACATTGGCTTATAACAAGACATTGATGTTCAGCATTATTGGCTAACGTAGGTTTAAAACATACATATTAATTACAAATTGAGTTAAGAATTTAAGTTGCGTATTTGAATTTTCTTTTTTCTAAATTGAGTATTCTTGCATCGCCTACATGGGTAGTATACATATGCTTCTGACACAAAACATGAAAAAATGCTACAACTGAGTAATAAAGACGAACTACTATAGACGTTTAACGGTTATCAGCAAACATTGATTGGCAAATACTAACAGACACGAAGTGTAGATATCTCAATGCAGTAATGACATGTTTTGATGTATAAGATCTTTTAATATCAGTAAAGCAATCTGATTTGTATTGTTACCTATTGCGTCTCCTTGTTGTGACATTCTGACTGTGTGCAAATTTGCATGGCATGTGTACATTTATATCTGACGTACCATTAAATTAGCCTGGTAAATATGTTGAGTTTTAAGGACTAAAGATAGATTTAACTGCTGGTTGACGTTAATCCATTAGGAATCAACAGCCTCATATTTATACTGCTCAAATGATCTTAAGAATTTTATTATTCAATTAGATTTTCACAATTCGCACAAACATCATGATAATGAAAATCAAAAAAAAAATGTTCAAAGAGTCTTCGAAGTTACTTCTAGCCACTTGGAAGCCTATCATAATATTCATAATTCGCAAACTGAAAAAAGAGGCAAAAACTGACAACGCGATTGAAAATTGTCTATCAGGGCACATCCAATAGATAAGTAAACAACTGAGTAAATATAACCCTGAACAGTGCCATGACATTCTGAATCTTCTTATTAATGACAAAGAAGCAGGCCAAATTAAACCAAATATGTCAAGAAAGCTTCAAAATGAATTGTTAACATAAAAGAGATTGGAAGGCACATCATACTCTTATTATATAAACTAATGCAACACTAATAATCTTTTTACAAAGAATCGTCATGGTACCTTGGCGGTTTTGGAAAGACAAATGTATTCGATACTGGTTGATAAACAGCATTTAAGTAGTTTTTTTTTAAATTGTCAGCTATGAATCAAGGAAAACAAAATCAGATAAATGTCTAGTATTGCTTCGTTTTCACTGAAATTTCTAATTTGGATCAAATGTTTGTGTCTGTCAAGTGAAAGTCAGGGTAACATTTCAAATCTTAGTCAATATTTACAAAACAGAAACACTAGACCTTATATACTGTTCATATATTCAAAGAAGTAGAATATTCAACTGAATATTAGCAAATCTTGCATACATCGTCATCATCGTTTAAGGTTTTTGAGCATCTTAATAGAATAACAACATTAAAGTAGCACAATACAAAAGCAACTAAATTTTATCAAAATTTTATTTTCAGCTGTTTTTATTACTTCTTAATATTCCAAAAACACAGAAGAAAAATGTATTTACATATCTTGCACTGTTAATGAGTTTTGATGATAATTAGTTTTATAAACAAATACACGTGTCTGACTGATACAAGATAAGAACATGTGGGAAGTACTTTGTGGTTGAACAATAGAATCGTTTGATAGCTTTATGACCACTGACTAGCAATGAAAATAACAGTTATGAAAAAGAGGTGGATTAGGGTTAAATGAAAAAATGAAGATAATAAATTCAAAATAAAAATACATTTCTATATTGGAGCTGCAAGGAGAAAAAACAAAACAACAATTAATGTTGCTGATGTTAATGCTGATGAATGGTTATATTAGAATTTTTTAAGGAGAATGTTTAAATATGAATTATTTTTAAAAGAAAATACAAATTAGATATTTCATTTTCAAACTGCTAAAATGAAAGAAATCTACTTTCCGTAAAACACCATAGTGTCATTGTATGCAATTATAAATCTAGACATCCCCATAAGGATTCTCTAGACTGAACAACTGATCATTTTGTGTACACATGCATAACTTACTTTTTGTAACAATAAAAAAACAAAATATATTATTGTTTGTACTGAATGAATTAAATTCATATTGAGTCCTGAAATCTTGTCACATTTTTTTACTAACATGTGAGTCACTTGAAACCGACAGGAAAAGACTGATGGAGATAATAATTGATATGGGAAGTGAACTTTTAGCAAAATTTTGCTTTGTAGAGGAAGTAGACTTAGTTCAGCTAATAGTTAATCCTTTCTACTATACTGTGGATAAACGTAACGATGAAATTGTTCAAAATATTACTGGACAACTAGAGAGTGTGTGTAGACAGCTTATTAACAATCTGCATATGAAGCGGTATGAACTGCTAACCAAACAACAAAAATGTGAAAAGAAAAACAATCTTTTATGAGAGGTAAATATAAAGTAAACTATATATGACATTAAGCTGATGATCAGGGTGGGAATCTCCACAGGTATCATCAGTTGTAATCGAATCAAATAGACGGTTATTAACCAATAATAAATTTGGTTATTATATGGGTGCATACATATTAAAATTAAAGATAAATTTAACTTTTTATTGTCAAATCGTATATTAATTGTACATAACGGTGGCGGTACAGAAGTCATTTTTATTGATATATTAATAAGTATTCATAATTGGATTAGACATTCATTGCGTATTATCATATTGTGTGGTGAAGGATATTATATATATTCAACTCCATTGGAGGTGTGCCTACATTGGCAGAATTTATCTCAAAACAGATACAGATTGAAAAATGTAAATGCAATCTGAGATCATTAATAGTAAAGGTTTATCATGGTGGGCGAAGTTTTGACCATATCAATAGCAACTGACTAACAGCAAGGTCAATAATGATATAACATCTCTAGCAATATCTGATTTTTTATGCATAGGGTGTGCATTTTGTTTATATATTTAGAATTGCTTACATGGAATACTTTCTTACTGGTCAAAACCAAATGGATTTATGATTAAAGGCCAATCCTGAAGTATCCCTGGTACAAGTGTGAATTATATTGAAGTTAATGGGGTATAAGTAGGAAATTTCTTATCTATTAAATTGTGACACATTCATTTTTGTCATGAAAATGTAGTTTTAAATGAATTTAGTTCCTACATAGGTGCCCTTAAATGCCTGATTTTCACACATATTGTTTCTTGAACAGTTATCTTCAAAAGGGTGTCTCAGATTTTGAAAAACATCAAAAGAACACATTCTATACCCAATAAAATAAAGTAATCTCTTATGAATTGAGGTTGCAAACTTCATTGAAGGTTTATGAGATAATGAAATATAATAGGAAATATCTGAGACACAATGTTGGGGGTCAAACTGTATTATACAAGAATCTATAAAAACTTTTGGGTGCTATGAATTACAAAGAAGCTAATTTCATTCAAGGGTGGACATCACAATATAGCAACTAATTACATAATAATTAATTATGTAATAATTATGTCATAATGAAATTATCACCATTTGAAATATTTATCTTTTTTCTTTCTTTGGTACCTCATTTATAAAATTTAAAGCTGGATGAAAGAAATTACATCAGCAATATCTGATTTTTTATGCATAGGGTGTGCATTTTGTTTATATATTTAGAATTGCTTACATGGAATACTTTCTTACTGGTCAAAACCAAATGGATTTATGATTAAAGGCCAATCCTGAAGTATCCCTGGTACAAGTGTGAATTATATTGAAGTTAATGGGGTATAAGTAGGAAATTTCTTATCTATTAAATTGTGACACATTCATTTTTGTCATGAAAATGTAGTTTTAAATGAATTTAGTTCCTACATAGGTGCCCTTAAATGCCTGATTTTCACACATATTGTTTCTTGAACAGTTATCTTCAAAAGGGTGTCTCAGATTTTGAAAAACATCAAAAGAACACATTCTATACCCAATAAAATAAAGTAATCTCTTATGAATTGAGGTTGCAAACTTCATTGAAGGTTTATGAGATAATGAAATATAATAGGAAATATCTGAGACACAATGTTGGGGGTCAAACTGTATTATACAAGAATCTATAAAAACTTTTGGGTGCTATGAATTACAAAGAAGCTAATTTCATTCAAGGGTGGACATCACAATATAGCAACTAATTACATAATAATTAATTATGTAATAATTATGTCATAATGAAATTATCACCATTTGAAATATTTATCTTTTTTCTTTCTTTGGTACCTCATTTATAAAATTTAAAGCTGGATGAAAGAAATTACATCAGTTTAAAGTTGTCTGATTGGGGTTGAAAAATACTTTGTATTGTGCTACCTTTATATAAGGATGACGACCAGTACGACGACGGTTACGATGATGATAAGGATGCAGAATATCCATTATTGATTATTACTTACAATAAATACCAGTAATTATGTAAAGCACTATCGTCATGCCCAACCAAATCTGTAAAAGCCTCATGTTTTTACCTAGAGGTTCACAGCACAATCCAGAGTACGTCAGTTCTACAATTTATATAATATGAAAACACATTTTTTTTTAATTGTATGAAGCCATTTTGAAGAATGCATTGAAAAAAGATCATTTAATATACCCATAAAGGTGATTAGTACATACAGGTATATCGGACGGATATCAGTCGCGAAGAAAGAAGGAAATTTTCAAATCATATTAAATTCCTTTGAATTTTTGAAGGATATTCCTTCTTTGCTCTATATAAATATATTTGTGTCGACAAACTATAATATTGAAGCATTAAAAAATCATAAAAGCTTTTTGAATACCATTGTCGAAAGAAAATCAGATATTAAACCAAGTATGAAATTCACCGAATATCACTAGGTTGTTATTTATCTCAACCCGAGGCAGGTTATATATGTACTTCGTATTAATAGTTCTGAAGGAATAAAAAGAACAGAACATACTAATGACAAATAATTTATAGTTATATTTATCATCATGGTACTACTTCCACCAAGTCGCTAACTCTGCTACCCGTGAGTATCACCAGCAAAGTACAAATCATTAAGCATCTGAGTCATTAAAGTGGTAACGTTAATGTTATTACCAACACTTCGTGAAAACCTCTACTGGTGGTATTTTAGTAACTAGAAGTTTTGTACTGGCATACACACATGGATATTATGATATTCAAAACAATTGAGAATGGAAATGGGGAAAATTTCATATTTCAATAGTCTCATTTATTGAGTTACTCAATAAACACATATATCATCGTGTAGCCACACATAATTGTCATGTAAAGACCAAAAATGCCCATCACATTTCGACATATTTGATTAATTATTTTCAAAATAATGTTTGCAATGGCAACAATTAATCTAATATGAACTTAAACTGATTTCATGACAGTGCCTCATCTTCTATCGTCTAACGAAACTAAAAAAATCTAGTCTAGCCTTTGTGAAGCATTTTTTTTAATCGTACACGCTTTCTTTCTATTTTAAAACATACTTATCTGTTTTTTTTAAGTCGGTTAGATAGTTTAGGTTGAAATAACCTGAATAGAAGAGAAAACATTTTAATTTGTAAAAAATTCTTAACAATAGAATTTAAGTTATGAATCAGTTTGTTATTGGTTTCACGCGTTATCCGATGTTCATACAGACATTTAAAGACGTAAACAATTGTTTTGTAATAAACAATAGTTCAGTATAAAATTGCGTTCAATTTCAACAGGACATGACATTACGTTTTCTATTAAGCTTACTATTACACATTTTAAATCAATTTTGTTAATCTGTCATAAATTCTAATTCTTACATGCTTTGAAGGAGACGAAAATTACTGAATGAATAATTCTGCTTTAGGGTATTCACCTAACGTTTTCTAATATATAGATGCCTGCATTATCATTGTTCATTGTATTTATAACTTTTATAATTCACACATGAAAAACTCTTAAGAATAATTAAACGAATTTCGACATAACGTTGCTTTTTAGGGGGTAAAAGAATTGCCGTTGTTCACACCAATAAGGATGTCGTAATGGTATTTTGATTTTGAAACGACAATAAGTGTCTATTAATTGAATAAGTAACAATATACCACTTTACATGTCATTCAGCTTTGAATTAATATCAAACTAAGTAAACAAAGCTAATCATTAATCAAAATTTGCTTGAAAAGTGCGTGTAGTTGTTGTACAACGTACGGTTAAGTTATGAAAAGGAACTTTTGTGCCAACGTGAACTGGTAGAACCGAAAACCTCTTTATGTCGGTTTTCAGAAAAATTAAAATATCAGATGTCCTCCGTTTTCTTCGATTAGGAAAAGCTAGTTATACAATTTTTTTGGAAGACATTCCATCTGAATGTAGCCAAAAAAGGTATAACACAATTACCAAACTCAAAGGTAAATTAAAGTCGATAAAATCTGACTTGTTCAAGACGTTTGTTTACACCGTCTTTATGTGCATTCATGCAAATGTTTGCACCTGTCCTAAGTCAGAAATCTGATGTACAGTAGTTGTCGTCTATTTATGTAGTTCAAACGTGTTTCTCGTTTCTCGTTTTTATATAGATTAGACCGTTGGTTTTCCCGTTTGAATGGTTTTACACTAGTAATTTTTTGGGGCCCTTTATAGCTTGCTGTTCGGTATGAGTCAATGCTCCGTGTTGAAGGCCATACCTTGACCTATAATGGTTTACTTTTATAAATTGTTACTTGGATGATGAGTTGTCTTATTGGCACTCATACCACATATTCCTATATCTATTCAAACACAATCTTGCCTAAAAGATTTATTCTACTTATAAAAAGTCATATGACTGATACAAATCTGTAACCTAAAATGCCATATTTACTTTTCATAGGGCTGATAGTGTGTTATCTTATTCTATAAGTTATCAATAGGTACCAGGCTTTTAATTTGATACGGCAGACGCACGTTTCGTCTACATAAGACTCATCAGTGACGCTCAGATAAAATAAAGTTAGAAACCTAAACAAGTATAAAGTTGACTAGCATTGAGGACCAAACATTTCAAAAAGTTGTGTTAAATACGGGTAAGGTGATCTATGCCTAGGATAAGAAAATCCTTAGTATTGCGGATAATTCATTCTTTTGCAAATAATAAATTCATAAAAATTACCATATGATTGATGTCCATGTCAACACCGAAGTGCTGACTAAACCAGTCCTGTTAATAATACCATAAAATTATCATATGATTAGAGATTTCAGCTACATAAACATGATGAACTAATTTTAAGATTTTCAACAAGTTTAGTTTTGAGTAGAATCATTATGGTAACCAATACAATGAAAACAAAGCAGACAATTAAAAGTTATTTCAATAACATTTTTGTTTTCACTCCCGTACAAATATGGTATGTTGATATGAGAATAATGTTATAAGAACACTCTGACTATTGTAGTTTACACTAAAATGAAAATTACTCACTAAAAATTTCATATTGTTTCGAGTTTAAAACAAAGCACAAATTGTCGACATTCACCATAAAAAAATAACAAAATCTTTAAACTGACATATTCAGGCGGGATATAGTTATGATACTTTGTCTGATCATTAAAGATTACATATTTTGGTGATAATATGTATTTACTTATAGTCTTTGCATCGGAAATAAACGCATTTATTCTTAAACCAGTTGTTGGCATGATACGGCTTGTGTTCTTTTCATGTATTTAATGATTTTATGATACTTAACTTCTTACGGGAGGTATATAGCTTGATTTTCATATGATGAAGACATGATCTTTCAATCAGTTTAATTAAGTGCTGGGGCTGGCATGTCAGTAACTGCCAGAAGCCCCTTCTCATATAGATATAAGAAGATGTGGTATGAGTGTCAATGAAACAACTCTCAATCAAAGTCACAATTCATAATTAAAATAAACCATTATAGGTAATAGTACGGTCTTCAACACATAGCATTGGCTCACACCGAACAGCAAGCTGTAAAAGGGCCCAAAATGACTACTCTTAAATCATTCAAACTGGAGAGCCAACGGTCTAATCTATATAAAAAAATATATGTATCAATGTCATTTTGCATAGTTTCTTCTTTTGTTACCTATTCTGACATCGGACTCGCACTTCTTTTAAACTGAGTATTACTGCGAATAGCGGTGTATTTGTTTGTTCTACATTTACCGGGGATGTAGGGGATGGTTGATATCTCACAAAACATGTTGAACTCCGCCGGATTTTTGCGTCTCTGGTCTTTTTAAGTCTTGTATGTTTTTCATTTCAGTTCATTTATATGCTTTGGAGTTTAGTGTGACGTCCATTTTCTTTGAACTAGCTATATATATAGTACACATTTTGTTTAGGGGCAAGTTGAAGCCCGTCTCAGGTTGTTGGATTTTCCCCGCTGAATTGAAGACATATTGGTGGCCTTTGGCTGTGTTCTGCTCTTTGATCTGGTTGTCGTCTCTCTGACACATTCCCTATTTCCATTCTCAATTTTATTATGCAGTCGGTTTATCTGCATACATTATTATACTTTGAAATAAGGAGTTTGAATGATCTCATCAGTTATACAAAATACATGTGTAATTACCATGGATACAAAACAGACTAGAAAACTTGTCAGGATTGAAATTTTGTATTTGCGCCAGACGCGCGTTTCGTCCTCAAAAGAATCGTCATGATCAGTGACGCTCGAATAAAAAAAAAGTTAAAAAGGCCAAAAAAATTTCGAGGATGAACATGAAGATCATTGAGGACCAACAATTCACTAAGTAAACGCACTTCTATTTCAAATGTCTATTTTTTATATTCGATACATTGTTATATTCAAGAACATATTAATTAAGTTCAACTATTAAGGTGATATTAAGAAATATTCTTCCCTGAAAACAATCTCCGATTGGTAGATAAATCTATCGTCAAAATTATGATTATGGTTATTGTTAGTTTCAAGCATGTTATGATTCAGGATTAAACTGCATATTTAACAACCTGAACCAAAATTATGTTAATACACCATAGATTAGTATTAATTTTTATAACAATCTTTTTCAACGGGACATGAGAATATTTTTTTTTTTGTAAATTTTGCATATTTTAAAATATAATAAAATTGTTTAATCTGTCAAACATTATACGTCATGCAACTTTTAAACATGTTAAAGGAGAAAACACTTATTGAATACATAATTTTGCTCATTTACCTAAATTTGTTATATCTTGAGACGTTTTCTCTTAACGAGTAAACATTTTTTTTCGTTTAATATTTTGTTTACACGTATATATATTCTAATTTCAAAACGACTGTAAGTATTGTATACATTGTGTAAAATATAAAAATTGTTTAACTATTTTTAAAGGGCAGCTTTTTACTCATATAGACTGTTTTGTCTTTTCGAATGCAGACTTATTGAACATAGTGTTGTTTAATGTTGTTTGACTGTAATATTTCTGGCTAGCTAATGATATAGATTCATGAATTTGCACCCGTTTAGAAAATAAAACAGAATAGTACATGCCCAAAAGCTGCAACTTTGACCAT